AATCGCCTTTTTGCGTTGTTGTTGTCCATGCCTATAGTTCATGCAGTTCGTGCAGCAACGCCTCCCAGCGGCGCCAAACATGTGTAACCCTATTCAAATTCTATCAAACAAAATAAATGAACACAGAACCCGTGCTCGTCATGAAATACCTGAACTTCCACGATTAACCACTTAGACACGATCAAATAGAATTTAGGGGCTGATTCGATTATAAGTATCGTCTTCATCTATTTCTTGCAATTGCGGCTATAATTATGCATCAGCCCCCAACTTGTGATTTCTGGATCGCCGCCAGTAGAGGAGAGCGATGGACTTATAGACTTGTGGTTATCTTTCTATTTGGCATTCAACGCACACGGAATGCTTAGATTACGCTAAATCTGTTAAAGCGACGCAAGAGAGCTCGCTTTTAGGGTGCGGTTATACCAGACTGTATAAAATCTGGCTGACCATTTTGAGTTTTTTTTATCGTTACGAACAATTCGTTAGAAACGTGTCTTCCTTCCCCTAGATCTCCAGTCCCGCCACCCTCAGCCACGGTACGTAAAGATCCGATGCGCCGACCCAGTGGCCACACCAGTCGCACCACGAGGCAGCGTTGGTTCAATATCGACGGGATGAACACATTCGTCGCGGGCGCGAGTGGACTGGTCAGTATTACTACTAAGCTGTCTCCAACACACTACGCTGGTGAGCTCTTTCGGAAACGATCTAAGGACCTCAACGGTGGAGGAGACTAGATCACGAGAGCTCAAAGACAAAAACCGTATTGCGTGCCCGCTACGAAGTACATTGAAGTATTTGGAATGAAAATACTACATGTAAAGAGGCCTTCATGTGTGTTTGGTTTAACTCAGCATGTGACCTCCTTCATGTTTCCCTTACCTATCGAAGTTGTGTCTCGATTGGGCATAATCTTTTCGGGTTTCGTTTCAAAACAATCCTGATGTCGCCGCGAATGTAGCCCCGGCGCCAAGTACCAGCAAAAATATCACGCCGCACGCGAAATACATCCTCCAGTTGCGCTCACTTTTTAATTTGCTGAAAGGTTTCTTCAGCACGGCCGCACCAAGCTTTTCCATGTTTTCATTCGTGAGCGCGCTCGGATTCTTGCTGATCGCCGTCTTGAGCTTGTCCATGGAAGGACTCTTTTTCAAACTCTTCATCCTCGTCATTAGAGCGGTGTCCTTTTGCAAGGTATCGAACGTCTTGACAAGCTGAGGATTGTTCTCGAAAGGCTTGATAAGCGACGGGTTGCCGCTCAGCGTCTTGGTCAAGGTCGGGTTTTTCTTCAGACTCTTGAGAACGCTCGCCTCTTTCTTGGAGAAAAGGCTCAGTTTGCCGATATTTGGCGTCTGCATTCTCTCTTCGATATCATCTGCGGCTTGCACCTTACTGGCGCTTCTGAGGCTGCGGTGGGCATTGGACTGCTCAGCAATAGCAAAACCCGGGATGCATGTGGCAAAGCGACTATTATCAGGAGAAAGTAGCCCTGGCGCATGTTGGCGGTCTATGCCCGGTTGAGGTCTTGAGTGCTTCTCTCTCGGTCGATTCGAGAATGGGAAAGCTTTGCCATTCCCGAATTGCCTGCGGCTCAACGCATACGATTCCAGTGTACAGAGCTTGCGTTACTTATCACTGCACAGAGTTGGTGAAGGGCGCTATTAACACGATCCAGTTCTCGATGCATGTGAATTTATCAGCTACGATACAGTATTGTACCACATGTACGAGCGTCAACGGCGATCGCGTATCCTGACTTCCGCGAATGCACCAATCTCGTCCAAGCCGGCTGTTTCTGCGTGAGCGATTCTCACCGAGTCGCCTATCCGGTTACAGCGGACTTGGTCAGTTAAACTGACTCAGTTTATTGTACGATCGGTAGCTCGTGGCACCATAATAACTGTAAAACGTGCCCCCAGCACCCACACCAGTCACCGCGACAGGCGTGGGTTCGGCAAGTGAGCACAACGAGAGCAACAGCCGAGCCAGCAGGAGCAATTGCAGTAACGGCAGGTGATGGTAGTGTTGTAGCTGCTGGCACCGCAGAGGCCAGTGGCTCGTGGGCAATGATCAGCTCCACACATCGCGTAATCGGGCAGATAAAATGTCATTGGGCGGATATAACATCACCCGGTGTGAATGTCACGCGCTCATCTCGGGGCTACTACCATCCGAGGACGAAGGATCCCAAATATGCGATAACAAAGCGGCAATTCAGATTTTAGAGACTGCCAGATCCATCGCACATAAAATTTTCAAACATTCACCGCGTGGAAATCAGGACAATGGTGAAGCTAATGAAAACGGGAGGGTCTTTCTGGGCAATCTGGATCAAATCACACCAAGAAGGTGAACAGACGACGGACACCGTACTCGCAGAACGGCGGCAGGCACTAGCTCTGGCGGACAAGGCAGCCGCAGATGGACATGGTGGTATTTTGCCTGGTACATATAGTGATGTCATGGAATGGGATATCGTTCACCTACTGGGCTCGGATGGCAAACCCTTTCTTGGTAAAACTCGAGCTGCTATGCAGATGATGGTGGACCAGCAGCGGCGCCAGGCCTGGGTTAAACACCTTAATGAGAAACAGGAGCACCGACAAACAATTCGAATAGACGCCTTGAACACGCCAGAACTACTAGGATGGAACGATTTCGAGGCACGTTTCTACTGGAGGGCAATCAGTCTGGTACTTCACACCAGCGCAAGGAAAAATCTCTTCGACAGTAGATGGCCATCGCATTGCTGGCTGTGCCCGGGTCAAGAAGTCGATACTCAAGCTCATAAATTTGGTGCGGGAGGGCAACACTGCGTGAGTACATGTGAATTAAAAGCCAAGGTTACGCATGGCATTAGACGCGCACTCAACCAGCAGTGGACACCAGACCAGGAGTACTATCTACCCGCAATGGATCATGAGATTGCAGCAGCAACCGGGTACCCCACCAGACCCCGATAGGCGCAGTATCAGCGAGAATGGGCACTACTGGTGGCCGGTGGATGTGATATGTGGATGAATGCACGGAATTTGACTGACCTCGTCGACTCGAATATTCATGACTGCGGCAGCCAGTTATTTCAGCTAGAGACCGAGCTTACATCACACCGCCCTGCAGGTCGGCTTCTACCAAGATGTCTACAACGAACAGCCCAGCAGTGCACTCCATCGTTAGCACACTTCAGCTATCATCCCAGCCAGCTATGTGGAGTTTGGAATATTGGTGTTCTACACAGTAAATATCCGTGTAACGAAGCCGCGCTGATAGTGAAATCTCCTGGGGAAGGCCACGACAGTTGGTGGATTGATGACATTTTCTGTCCGGAGTCACGGCAAAGGTGGACCAATACCAAGGAATGGATTCGAGCACAGCGAGAGCGGAATGTCACTGTGTGGATCGCATGTTATGAACGGACCGAAGGTCACAGAGCAGCGCTCCTTCTCGGAGTAGATTGGTATGTGCATATCCCGGCGCAGGGTATTCGAATGCGAACTGATCTAGCGGCGCGTCAAACCAATACCAGTAAGGCGATATTCACAGCAAAGAACCCTCGCGGTATTTGGATCGGCCTAGTCAAGACTGAGATATCGCACTCTGAGCACCATACCTTTAACAATGAATGGCTGCGTGTGCTCGGCGGTCGCTATACAACGGAGTGGGCATGCTCGGAGGATATTGGTACAGAAACGCATGCTGGGGACGATAGAGTGACGATGATAGACTGGACCAGCAGCCTTGGGGCCGGCATGGAGGATAACGCATTGCTGCATAGCCAGCGATGGCTCCACCGCCGCCATCATGCAATATATAACGCCCCGAATGGTTGGAGGGTGTGGCCTTCAGCCTCGTCAGCAACTATGACATGGGCAAGTGACCTATCCCACAACAAAACCAAAGCGACCAAGTTGCACAACATGACACTGGAAGCAATTTGGGAGGCGAATCGATCGCACTGGGCCCAAACGTGCGAGGCCACAGCTAAAGCTATCCAAGCAAGTACCTCTGCCGGACTCGAGACAAATGCACTCTAAGGTGCGATCACGACAAGAAACCAGCGGCGATGGATTCACTCCTGCTAGGCCATGCTTCAAAACTCGACCAACGGCGGGACGAATGACATCAACAACGAGTGGAATACCAAGCGGAAGCTAGGGAGATTTCTGACGACGTCGCAAGTACACCTGATGGGGCCCGTCTAAACGGCAGTCTGCAACGATAACGCCAAACCCATGAACACACGCAAACCCTCGAGCGACCAGTGCGTGGTCGTGAAAACGAGGACACACATGCATATCGAGATAGTTCTTTCGACAAACCTGCCATGCATGCCTTAAATATTAGAGGTTTGGAGGGAACAGCCATAGCCACCGACCACTGCATGCGCAGCATTGCAGTGCCAGGTTCAGAATTAGATGCAGCTCTCACTCCGAGTGTGACTGGCGTTAACAGCGAAAAATAAAATAAAAAATTCATTCTGCTGGTTCGATACGTCGGGCTGCCCAGGAGCCAATCCAGATTCGCGAGAACATTGACCAAGTCCGCTGTAACCGGGTAGGCGACTCGGTGAGAATCGCTCACGCAGAAACAGCCGGCTTGGACGAGATTGATTGGTGCATTCGCGGAAGTCAGGATACGCGATCGCCGTTGACGCTCGCACATGTGGTACAATACTGTATCGTAGCTGATAAATTCACATGCATCGAGAACTGGATCGTGTTAATAGCGCCCTTCACCAACTCTGTGCAGTGATAAGTAACGCAAGCTCTGTACACTGGAATCGTATGCGTTGAGCCGCAGGCAATTCGGGAATGGCAAAGCTTTCCCATTCTCGAATCGACCGAGAGAGAAGCACTCAAGACCTCAACCGGGCATAGACCGCCAACATGCGCCAGGGCTACTTTCTCCTGATAATAGTCGCTTTGCCACATGCATCCCGGGTTTTGCTATTGCTGAGCAGTCCAATGCCCACCGCAGCCTCAGAAGCGCCAGTAAGGTGCAAGCCGCAGATGATATCGAAGAGAGAATGCAGACGCCAAATATCGGCAAACTGAGCCTTTTCTCCAAGAAAGAGGCGAGCGTTCTCAAGAGTCTGAAGAAAAACCCGACCTTGACCAAGACGCTGAGCGGCAACCCGTCGCTTATCAAGCCTTTCGAGAACAATCCTCAGCTTGTCAAGACGTTCGATACCTTGCAAAAGGACACCGCTCTAATGACGAGGATGAAGAGTTTGAAAAAGAGTCCTTCCATGGACAAGCTCAAGACGGCGATCAGCAAGAATCCGAGCGCGCTCACGAATGAAAACATGGAAAAGCTTGGTGCGGCCGTGCTGAAGAAACCTTTCAGCAAATTAAAAAGTGAGCGCAACTGGAGGATGTATTTCGCGTGCGGCGTGATATTTTTGCTGGTACTTGGCGCCGGGGCTACATTCGCGGCGACATCAGGATTGTTTTGAAACGAAACCCGAAAAGATTATGCCCAATCGAGACACAACTTCGATAGGTAAGGGAAACATGAAGGAGGTCACATGCTGAGTTAAACCAAACACACATGAAGGCCTCTTTACATGTAGTATTTTCATTCCAAATACTTCAATGTACTTCGTAGCGGGCACGCAATACGGTTTTTGTCTTTGAGCTCTCGTGATCTAGTCTCCTCCACCGTTGAGGTCCTTAGATCGTTTCCGAAAGAGCTCACCAGCGTAGTGTGTTGGAGACAGCTTAGTAGTAATACTGACCAGTCCACTCGCGCCCGCGACGAATGTGTTCATCCCGTCGATATTGAACCAACGCTGCCTCGTGGTGCGACTGGTGTGGCCACTGGGTCGGCGCATCGGATCTTTACGTACCGTGGCTGAGGGTGGCGGGACTGGAGATCTAGGGGAAGGAAGACACGTTTCTAACGAATTGTTCGTAACGATAAAAAAAACTCAAAATGGTCAGCCAGATTTTATACAGTCTGGTATAACCGCACCCTAAAAGCGAGCTCTCTTGCGTCGCTTTAACAGATTTAGCGTAATCTAAGCATTCCGTGTGCGTTGAATGCCAAATAGAAAGATAACCACAAGTCTATAAGTCCATCGCTCTCCTCTACTGGCGGCGATCCAGAAATCACAAGTTGGGGGCTGATGCATAATTATAGCCGCAATTGCAAAAAATAGATGAAGACGATACTTATAATCGAATCAGCCCCTAAATTCTATTTGATCGTGTCTAAGTGGTTAATCGTGGAAGTTCAGGTATTTCATGACGAGCACGGGTTCTGTGTTCATTTATTTTGTTTGATAGAATTTGTATAGGGTTACACATGTTTGGCGCCGCTGGGAGGCGTTGCTGCACGAACTGCATGAACTATAGGCATGGACAACAACAACGCAAAAAGGCGATTAAAGCGCCTTAACTCGCCAGTATTGCTGGGGAGGGAGAAATTGACGGCAAAACCTCTGTTAATACTTTTGCACTTCCAACACAATCAGTTATGCTTGAAGTTAGTATGGGGCTCTTGGAGTCAGACTCACCAAACCAGTTTCTCCAATTCTGCGCGAAAGTTTTCAGATTTCTAGTACTATCCCGCTATAAACGCCGATACAAGAAGGCCATCCACGCCACGTTTGCCTGGTTTCATGTTTTTCAAATTGCCATTTTCTAATAACTCCATACATTTTCTGTTTGAAATGTCGAAGCCGCTGAGAGAAGGGTTGGGTTTCAGTTTCAGATTGAGGTAGAGTGTCGAATGATTGGCATGGAGGCATGAGCTGCGTGGAGCTCGTCGGTTGGCAAGCCTTATCATGCGCCTGCTTGTGGTAGGTAGCCTACATACACACAATATCTATGCGTAGGAATTTGTGCCTGACTACATATAGCTTTGTAGCAGAGCGTTGCAGCAGAAACAGAGAAGGAAAGCTCCCGTGTGCTGTGAGACTCTTGAATGCCTTTCGAGCGTGGAGACCAACATAAACCGTATTCAGTCGTCGTTACAACGCATGCATTTCCTCTTGACGGTGAAGGTGTACGCGGCGATGCCGTACATCAACAGACTTTCATGCGACCGCGCCGCGTTGGCAGCACCATGGCCATGCCACTATGCATCTCATTTGATTCGTTGGTTCGACTAGTTTTCATCGATTCCTTGCTATTTCTAGCTCAAAACAGGCTTGGGCAAGAGGCCCTGTTAGCTCAAACCTACCCACACATGAATGAAGAGGTCTTAAACGTGGTGGAGCGGATAACCGTACCCGACCAAGGGCCCACTTTGTGAACGAACGAACTGCCATGATCACCCGTAGTTCCCAGGCGGACAACTGTGGTTGTACTGGTTTCGGTTAACCGAGATGCACGGTAAATGACCGAACGCCTCGTTTTCTAGAATTAGATCAAGCAACAAGAATGTCGTCCTGGAGTGAAAGAGATCAGCTCGTTATCTTCGCACCATTGGCATCAATAGTTTCTCACTGACATCGCGGTGGAAGCCAGATCACCAACACCTGAGATGCCTCCACGATCAAACGTACAAGTGATCGAATCGCAGAAGGGTAATACATTTAGTGGTCGCACTACGTGTATAGCAGCAGCTTCTACTCTCGTCACCGGAATTTTACGGTTCGTTTCGCTTAACCCTTCTAGCCCCAGACCTTATTCTGTATCCTACAGAATAAGCATTAGACTTGATTAAAGTATACTTCAAAACCTGTCAAAGATTTGCTGTTGGAAGCCCTTTCGCATCTTGCGGTCAAGCGCTGGGTACATTGTGCACAGAACAGCTACGAAAGTGAACAAAACATGCTCAATGTATCCACCATATGCCGAAATGGCGAGCTCCTATTGGTCGTGGTGAGCGTAGAGCACGCTCAAAACCTGCTACATGGTAATACCTTGCAAGGCTGCTAAGGCAGCATACTTCGGCTCCAGCCACCCATCTTCGGCACGTCGCGATAAACGCGGAGGAAGAAATCGCCCTGTTCCTAACTGACGTAGTGAGGAGGAACTGGGCGAATTCTTCCTTGTGCTTGACATTAGCGCATCATTAGATTTCTTTAGCCCACCTAACAAGCTTGTTACGATTGTCTCTCTAACAACACCAGGGAGCTTGCATGCTCAATAGCCCGTAATGACACGCACTACACACGGTTCATCTTGTACGAAACAGGACAATATATGATATTCATGCCAACGTCTACTTCTTCCTTTACATGCGCACGCTCTTCAATGTTCGCGCCAGCCGTGGGTCATCTTCGCCATTTTGGCAGCCTCCGCTTTGCTCTGTAGCCTCCGGCACTGCCGCTCCATTCCTGCCGCTTTCATCGGTAGCCTCCGTCGTAGCCTCTGTCCCTTCTTCTGTAATCTCCGGTGTAACCTCATCACGCGGAGAGCTTCTTCTGTAGCATCCGTCGTAGCATCTACCACTTCTTCTGTAGTCTCCGGTGTAGC